TTAGGTGCGGGGATCCCAACCAATGCTTACCTAACTTTTTAAAGATGCTACTTTTAGCCCTTCCCCAAATCTACACACGTGTATTTCACTTGAGGAAGTGTGACGCATCTGTCAACGCGCGAGAACTTACAAGCGAAAAGAAAGTTGATATAGGCGAGAATCTCTTACCCAAGCACTGTCCAATCAATAGACTTCTACAAGTGAAATACACGTGTGTAGATTTGGGGGAGGGCTAAAAGTAGCTCTTTTAAAAAGTAAGGTAAGCATTGGTTGGGATCCCCACACTTAAAACATGAGTGTGGCGCATCTCTAAACCCGCGAGAACTTACGAGAGAAAAGAAAGTTTATATGGGCGAGAATATCCGACCTGTGCAAATCGATAGTTTTCCACAAGTGAAATACACGTGAGCTGATTTGGGGCAGGGCTAAAAGTAGCATGTTTAAAAAGTTTGGTAAGCATTGGTTGGGATCCCCGCACCTGAAACGCGGGTGTGGCGAATCTCTAAACGCGCGAGAACACGCGGGAAAAAAGAAAATTGACATGGGAAAGAATATCTAACCCATGCACTGTCCAGATCGATAGACTTCCACACCTGAAATAAACTTGTGTTGATATGGGGGAGGGCCAAAACTAACATTTTCAAAGAGCCATGTAAGCATAGTTTGAGATCCCCACAAAAAACGCGAGTGTGCCGCATGGGCTAACCGCCCGAAAACACGCGAGTGAAAAAAAGATATAAATGGGCGAAAATCTTTAACCCAAGCATTGCCCAAAGCGACAGACTGCGTCCCGTCACGACTTCTCCCTGGATGGGATGCTAGTCCATCGTAGGGTTACTTGTCAACATTAAATTCACCAGTTCCCGATTATACACCTGGGTCACAGTGGGTGGAGGTAATGTAGAAGTAAAGTGGTTTACCCCAAAACACAACGCAATGTCACCGGCCAGGGCACGAACTCAGACCGCTCGATCCGAAGGCGAGCGATCACCGCTCCTCCAGGATATCTTGTAAACAAGCAAACAAAGGTTTCATATTTTTTCAAAACGCATGCTCAGATCTTCTATTTCTCTAACGCAGCTATTGCTTTAACAAATATTCATTCTTAAACTTGTTGACAAGCTTGTAACATCCCAACATTATTGAATCTTTTTGACATTTCCTGTTATTAACCCAAACCGTGTTTTTTTAATGTTATAGCACATTGAAGGAATACTATGGGTTGCGTTGATTCATTGAAACCTTCGCGCGCCATTACTTGTTTGGCATGCAGCGTCGCAGGCGAAGCAATGATTTCCTCTTTGACTACCACACACGAGCGAAGCCGTAAAAGAACTGGCTCACTTTAAGTCACATCGGCCTGGTATAAGCAGGAAGCCCATTCTAGCAATGAAAATCAGGTAAAGTTTGCTAAGCGACTGGCTTCCTAAAGGCTATCAACTCTCATGTGAATCATAGATATGTGCGAGGAGTGTGCATTTTGGCGCGTATATGCAGAGCCTTGCAAACCCAATCGGTACAGAGTATTATATACCACCGTTACCTTCGTCCGTATCCAGTTTGCGAAGTGATGTCCCCACCATAGCCGATATGAAGATTATCGCACATACAATTATGCCGCAAACGATTGTACATGAGGTCTTTGAATCCATGATTCGACGCTACACTTATAATAACAGATATTTCTGACCAAACTTGCCGTATGATGCTGGAAGAAGCTAAGAAAGTGCAAACTTTACATAAATCTGAATGACGATTTTGACCTCAAATTTGCATTTTTCTTGTTCATATGTTGACTTTAGTTCCAAATCAGTAATTTTCCGCTGAGTCGAAAAGCAATATCACAATGTTTACCTGCTATCACGCACGTAGCTCGCAACAATGTTATTTTCCGAACTCACTCTTTATGTGTTGACGTCACGAATATATATTGCAGTACAGCTATTCCCAACTGGAACTCAAAGCGCTTTACTGCATGTTATCAATATACTAAAGGAAATAAAACTCCCTCAAAAGCTTCTAAAGCAACGAGAGGATAAAAATGCATTTTCCAAAAACAAAAAGAGCCGATCTCCGGAAATTCGAGTCATTTCAAAGTTTTACGGCTCAGTCGCCTCGGTTTTGAGGAAGTTAGGCAATTTTATTCTATCGATAAATTTCAAGAGAATTCACATGATTGGGGGCAAAATTAATTGATATCCAGAGACCAACAACAAGGGATCTATTTTTATAGGAAGTATAACAAGCTTAAGAACATAATAGGTATAAATTAAGCAGAAACTTTTCAAATCTCTGAATTGAATATCTAATAATAAATAACGGAAAAGGAAGTATATTTCTTATAAAAAAGGGATCATTGGATAATGCGATTAAGGAGTTTTCATCGGCTTAGACATCATGGTGTATGAGCCATTGGATATGAGATGATTATAGCCACTTCGGCGTTGCGTATCTATCATCTCACATCCAACGCCTGCTCGTGGAACAATCGCGTAACATTTAAGCAATAGAGCACCTTTTCCGTGTTTACATAGCCTCATCTAAACACGAGGAGGGTTGGGAGAATTCGAGACAGTTATGCATAGCTTACGAGAGTTCATTGCTAGGTTGGTAGATTGAACAGTATGAACTTGAAGGGTTGTTATTGAGGAAACATGCTGAGAAAAGTCACTTTTGGGAAAGTTTGAAACATCCGCATGAAGAAATAAGCAAAAAAAACAAACAAACAAAAAAACACTTTTCGCTTCTCGCAGAAAGCCAATTCAATTGAGAAGTGCACAGTAACAAAAAAAGCCGTAGATAAGAACTAGATTATTTGCACGATTCCTATTCGTAAATCTGGCTTCAAATGTTGTTCCTTTAGGTCTACAAACGTTGTCAACTGCAGTGCAAGCGAGTTATAATTAGCTAGTATCACCAATCACCAAATTTTCTCGGTGCCCTAGAGCGGTATCTGGAGTACTGAAGCTCTTTTGAGTTCTTGTCTTGGAGCGCAACTCTAAAATCCAAGCTGCTCTATTTGGACTTCAGTCATAGAAGAACTGAGAACTGGAGGTGGAACAAGTCTCAAAAATTGTGGTAGCAATTAGGGGGATCGGGGACAAGGATGATTGGGAGGAGGATTAAAGTTGACTCGCCCCAAGTTACCTCGCTCACCGGTTCTTTAAGACTGATTCCAATACCGCAAGAATTTGTTGATTGTCATAGACTGAGTGTTAAATGAATGCACTGCAGCTGAAATAAAATTAATATGTCATATGTCATGGCAATAACGCAAAGCGAAAAAATAAAATAAAATAGCTTGAGTTAAATAGGTATCTCTATTAAAATAGTTTTCAGTGTCTGATCTTTTCGTGTCGTTTTGAAACTGAGTCAGCAGCATCGCGATTCTTTCTCGATATGCTTCATCAGTTCCAGTTCCTCAAATTCATGAAAGATTCCAGGACTGGTTTTGGTGCTGTTTCCGCCGTTCACGAGTACAACGGCTTTCCTGTGTGTTGCCATGCCCTGCAAGCCTCCAAGCGATGGTATGGTGGTCTTTCTAGAGGCTCTCATGCGCGGCTTTCGCTCGGCGTTTTCTTCCTTGATCAGCATAGCTGGCAGTCTTTTTTTTCCCTTCAATGGCTGTTGTCTAGTGATATGGGAAGATGGTAGCTTAACTGTATTTGAAGAAGCAGAGCATCCTATAGGCTTCACTCTAGAAGATCCTGCCGCCATGGGTCGCATGTTATGTCCACTGGCAACGGAACAACCACTGTCGCAATTCATAGCTTCAACACTCGACGAACTAGCGCTAGCCTTAGCATTCGGGAATCCAATATCCGGTGCACTTGTCTATGCGGTAGGCTTCTTAGTATTCATACCACGTGACTCACCCGTGACTTCCTTTCTCGAGTTTGTCTTTCTTTCTTTACTCATACTGCTTAGCGTCGCTGTTTGTTTACTGTCACAATCAAGTGTGAATTTCTAAAATCTCGTCGATAGCCTCGTCCAAGTTAATTTTCTCTGTTGACTTCGACTTGTAGGGCCGTGTCGAGGAATTCGTATTCTTTAAACTTGTTGCAACATCAGAAAGATCTTTCTCTGAAGCACCAGAGTCAGCTGCTGGAATTTCAAGAATCTCGTTGATGATTTCGTCCAAGTTGGTCTCGTCTGTTTCCTTGGGTTGTATCGTGGGACGCTTCTTTCTCATTTGAGTAACAGTATTTGCACTTGACGCGTTTCATCCGATTGAAGCCACGTCTTTACTATCTTGTATCTTATCGTTGCTCTTCTTCCCTGTAATGGTGTCCTTTGCATGCTTTTGTTCCTTAGGTGAAAGTTTTGGCGACCGCCTCGCTGTGTAAAAATTTGAAGAGATTTGCTCAGTGGAGTCAACTTCTTCCAGGATCAAAATATCGTTGTATTGCTTTAAGGAAATATCGTCGTTGTTGGTTTGTGGAGTAGCGTAAGCAGTCGACTGGTTTATGCCAATTGATGCAGCCCACATAGAGCTATCTCTGGCTGATTTGCAAGTCGCTTGCCTTGGTTTCTGAAAACAGTCTCGTTTTGGGCTTGGCACTGCACGAGCGCGATAACTAGAAGCTGTTGGTGATAAACCTTGGGTGTCGCTCATATTCATGGTTAACACACGTTTTGGCTTACTGGTTTTCAAACGAGGTAATGGGTTAGTAGTACAAGGAATTGGTCCATAGGTTTGAGCAATATTATGGTCTTCTTTTGTGGTATTATCCTTTGACCCTTCTTTGTCTACCACGCTCTCATTTTTCCTCGTGCAATTTTGTCTCTGGTGTTTTGCTGTGCCCAAGCTCGATAGGAAATCGCTTTGTGATAGCGACACCGTGCTGGTTGATGTTATTGACGATTTTAAAACAGTGTCTTTCGCCACTTCTTCTGCAATCGTCATATGCTTTGATATCCTCGTTCCGGTCTTCTTTAGAGGGCTCAGAACTGCTCCAGGACTCGACGAAGTTGTTTCATTTGAGGCAGTCTGGACTGCTTCTATATCGTCTTCGTGATTAGTAGGTGTTATGGATGCGGGATCGAAGATCTTGTCCATATCTATCGCTAACATAAGCTTAGGGTTGCTTGTCTTGGGCCTTGCTTTGTTGCAAGGACTGGAAGAGATTGTCTCACATGGTTCAGCAGCAAAGGGGCCATCATTTAAAATATACTCTACATCCTTGCTAACTGCTCATCTGCCTGCTTACAACGTTTCCTAGAAAAATGCTCTTTAGGAAGCACCAGGTCACAAGGATTTGATGTGATTTTTCCATTAAGTTTATCCCCTGCTTGATAATGTTTCTGACAAGAGACTGTTTTCTTGGGCGACACTTTGCCAGAGGAAATTTGGAGGTTGGATTTATTTGTTCGGGTGTCATCTTTCAAAACATAGTCGACGTTCGCTGCGATGTTCTTATTATGTGTGAGTTTGTTTCCTCTTGTGGAATATTTCTTTGTACGATGTGACTTTTTCTTGGATGAAACTGCACCAGTGGACATTTGTCCCTGTGATTTAGCTGGGGGACTATCGTCGTTAAAGAGGAAACCTATGTTGTTCACTAGTTCCTCGTCGTCTTTGAATTCTTTTTCTTGGTGGAACATTTCTTGGGTGGCCGTACCTTCTTGGTGGTTGGACATCTACCGGAGGACACTTGCCCGATTGATGCTGCTACAGTGACTTCATCATTCAAGATGCTGTCGATATCGTCTGCCAGTTTCTTTTCTTCTCTGATGTCCTCGTCCCTTGTGGACTTTTTCTTGGCACGTCGTGCTTTCTGCGAGGATGAAGCTTTTGCAGAGGAAACTTGTTCCTTTGTTTCAACTGCAGGGATATTATCGTTCAAGATGTATTTGATATCGTCTGCTAGTTTCTCTTCCTCGGTGATGCCTTTATCTCTTATGGAAGATTTTTTGAAACGACGTGTTTTTAGAGAGGCCGAAATTTTACCCGGGGAGATTTGTTCCTTTTTTTCAGCTGCAGTAGTATCGTCCTTCAAGATATAGTCGATATGGTCTGCTAGTTTCTCTTGCTCCCTTATGTCTTTTTGCCTCGTGGATTTTGTCTTATTACGTGGCGCCTTTTTCGAGGAGGACAACGCACCACAGTTGATTTTCCCACCTGATTCAGCTTTTGCGACACCGTCTTTCAAAACACATTCAATGCCTTTTGGTAGTTTCTCATCTTCTGTGACCTCCTCGTCCCTCATTGGATAATTCATGGCGTGCTGTTTTGTGCTCAAACTTGCCAAGGGATCATGCTGCATCTGCAACAGTTTTGAAACTATTGATATCCCTGTATTGAAGCCCGTTTTTCTGATGTTTGGAGCTGGACATTGAGGCCTTGGTCCATCTAAGACACAACTGAAAGATCTTTTCAACATCGTCTCAAATGCTCAACCTCGCCCGGTACTGATTCAGCTCTTAACGACCGAATAACGGGTTTTCACAAGGAAATGCTCAGTTTGTAAGTCAGTCAGTCAGTCTGTTAGTCCATCCGTCCGTCCGTCCGTCAGTCAGTCAGTCAGTCAGTCAGTCAGTCAGTCATTTAGTAGGTCAGTCAGTCCGAAAACTTCGTCACTCTCTTCGATCAGTCAGTCGATAAGCCAGCCAGCCAGATAGCCAGTCAACCAGCTAGCTAGCGGGTCGATCGGTCAGTGTGTCATTCAGTTAGTTAATCAGTCAATTAATCTACTTTTTATTGCTCTTTCCGGTCACTGCAGATAAAGAGAAAATATATTGCAAATTTAAGGTAAATCTTAATTGGTAGGATTCACCAACCATGTGGCTTTTTACAAGGAGCTCTGCGTCGATTCTGGGACCACCAAGAGCGTGCTGGACGGTTGTGATAGAGGACTTGAACCAGGGCCCCGCAGATATCAAATATTGCACCTTGAAAACGGCACAGCAATAAAATACCAAACCCAAAAGACCAGAAAACCATGATAACACTTTCCTAGGAGCCTTTTACATCAAATGTCACTGTTTACAAACAGCCTAATACTACTTCAAGTACCTGCTCTTTATTGTCCATTTTCCTGTTTTTCCTTTTGGCATAGATCGCTTTTGGGCCTGGTGCTAAGCCAGGGGCGATGGATAGACTTGTCCCCTTTGATTTCGCATCAGGTTTGCCATCACTTACGATGTTCTGGATATCTCTTTTTGGGTTGTTATCTTCTTTCTTGGCCGCATTTCGTGTGGCGGATGAGCTTGGGATTACGTTGGAGCTGGGAAAACATGGGCCGTTAGATTCTGCGGGAGGCATGTTATCGTTCAAGATGTAGTCGATATCCTCTGCCAGGGAGTTATCTGCTTTCTTCTTGTTTGTTTTCGATGATGAGGGCGGTGTTGCAATGGATCTGGGTGAATTTAACCCATTTGAACCAATTAGGTTGATTCCACTTGATTCCGCGGCAGGTAAATCGTCGTCCAAGATGTAGTTGATATCCTCTGCCAGGGAGCTATCTGCTTTTTTCTTGTTTGTATTCGCGGATGAGCGCTGTGTCGCACCGTATCTGGGTGAATTTGACCCATTTGAACCAATTAGGTTGATTCCATTTGATTCCGCGGCAGGTTGGTTGATATTCTCTTCCAGTGGGGTTGTTTCATCTAGGACTTCTGGAATCTCCTTCTCTACAATTCTATCAATTTTGTCAGTCACTCACAGTATGATCTCGTCTTTGCAATTAGGCTGACGTGTACTGCCCTTTTTCTTAAGTCGTCTTATTGCACCGGAGGAGCAAGGCTTCAATCCAATGACGTTGTTGTCTCCATCCTCATTTTCGGTGGACGACTCTTCACTCCATTCTGTATTCCAGCGAGGCTTATGCACCAGACATTCCCAACTTTCCTTCCGCTCTCCTGGGCGATGTTTTGCCTCCCATGTGGGATCTACACCAGTCTCAATAAATGCACTTATTGAGCGCTTTTCGTTAAAATCTACCACACTCGCCGTCTCCACAGCTTTTTCAAGGCGTGAACGTGTATCTTCAACATGGCTCGCCACGGCGGAATCTTGCTCGCATTCGTTTTTAGTTGGAAATAAACTCGGCGAGCTATTAACTGAAACAAAGTGTCGTGATGACAATGCTCCTGTTTCTTTTGCGGTTGTAGAACAACAGACGCCCATATTTTAGCTGTGAAATTACTTTTTTCTCGGACAAATCAGTTGCACAACTTCTCTCAAGAATTTGTGTTTGAATCTGAATTTCCCTTTATGACGCTTGTTGTACGTAACTGCGCGAGCATGAAGTCGAAAGAAAATCGAACGCAAAGCGCGCGGAAAGAAACATTTGACAGATCTTTTGCAAACATTGACATTTTGACGGAAAATTTAGTCTTGGAAAAAGGCGCGCGAAAATCCCTAATAGAGAAGTAAGCCCTGCCCAAACGGACTCGCAAGTAGACGCAAGTTGAAAACTTGGGTCCACTTGCGACTCCGTTTGGCCAGGCCTTGCCTGCTCTTGCGTTGACTTGCGATGCGATGCAATACGACGTGCTCACTTTGGTCGAGATCAAATTTGCACGCAAGTCGACGCAAGTTTTTCACCGTTTGGCCACCGAACCCAATCGCAAGTCAACGCTAGTTGAGCTCGTGACGTCCATTAACCTATTATCAGGATGTGTCTGCCTTGAAATGTTTTTTTTTTTTTGCGACTTGCGTGTACTTGCGAGGAAATCTGCGGGCCCGTTTGGTCACCCAGCGCTTGCCTCTACGCAAGTTCAACTTGCGGTTTGCTTGCGACTATTTGTAAGTCCGTTTGACCAGGACTTAACGACTATTGAGGTTTTGTTCTAAGCACATGATTTGTTCACCTTATAACTAAGCATTTAATTTTGATGTTTTGGTGATTTTTTGAATGAGGAAATATATTTTCACAAAATTAGACCCTCTTTTGAGTCTACCTCCTTTGAAATCACGAAAATCAAGCCTCGTTTATTAATATTTTCATGATACTATCTAGGACTCGATTGACAACGCCTCCAATTTTACTGTATAGAGCAGTTTTCAAAGGATGAGTGTCGTAAAATCAAAACCAAAGTTATCACTTCAGCAAACAATCACAGACAATACAGTGAACCAATCAAAGCTTGCAATAAATACATGAAGCTGACGAAAAGCGAGGGAAAACGAGTGCGAGTGAGACACGATTGTATTTGGTTTACTTCTGATTGGATGAAAAAAGAGGCGTGTAGCGTAGTTGATGCGAAACCAATTACTTCTCACCACTCAAATGAAAACCGCTCTAAAGTAGGATGTATTTCAGGTATGCATTTTCATAAAGTAAACGGACTGAAAAACAACTCAAAAATTCTCAATTTTATTTACATTCACAGTTACAACTTGCTAGTAAAGTGCGGTTTCTCGTTCACAGTGTTCTTCAGTTGCCAAACACTTGCCAAGCGACCTGAAACCAAACGTTGCACAGTGTCTTCAATGACACCATTCTTAAAAGCTGAAACTAGTTTGTAAAGCAAGACAGTGGGAATGCTAAAATTGACATGAGGGAAGCTCGATGACAGATTGGAATCTTTTGTATGACTTGTGATCATCCCCAATAGTTCCCCTGTCTCCATGGAAACCAGAGCCCCCCCACTTGCCCCACAATGCACTGCAGCAGTGGATTGAAGTAATACTGGCTGGTTATCGGCATAAGAAATGTTGGATATTACTCCAGAAACAACTGATGCCCCAATGTTAAGACATCTTGGAAACAGTTGGAAACCAACGACACAGATATCTTCTCCTTTCTTGTATAATGGTGTACAGAAGTCTGGAGAGTTCACTTGATTGGCATCAGCACCTAGCCGCAGTGCTAGGGATCTAAACTCAGGATTTGGCTGTACTTTTAATAGTGCAAAATCCAGAGGACAACCTTCTTTAGTAGCATAAAGCACTTGTGCCTCCTGTTGATTGCTGTATGGACAGTTCCACGATATCCTTACATTGTTCACATGTTGAGCAAGACTTTTGTCCCCTGACACAATAATGGTTTTATGACAATCTTGAATTATGTGCCTACAAGTTGCTATGAGACAGTTTTCTATGTCTATGATAATACCAGATCCCCAAGTGTTCCCGCACAGTACCATAACGACACTACAAAGAGCTGTCTTTACAATGTCATGAGAACTCAAACAGCCTTGATTAGAATGTATTACAGATGGGCTTTTATCTTGGTTCAATTTCACAATTGCATCTCTTGGATTCTGTATTTTGGCCTGGTTATTTGAGATACCCAAAAGCACTCCATGTAAATTTTGGGAAGTTAAAGCAATGTTTTGGCTCAAAAGAGTTGATAAATTGCGTAAAATGTACTCTAGTGAAGCCGTTACAGTTATTCCAATCCACTCTCCATTTCTCCAACAAAATGGCGCTAGAACGATTCCATAAGGAGCGCTGTCCTTTATCGATTCAGCATGCGACTTCTTCAGGTATACTGGACATCCTTCACATCCTGAAACGCAACGTGCATCAGTGATCACTATTTCGCTATTTGTTCCTACAACATTGGACACGATTCCTTTGGAAAGGCTGTTGTAGAAAACTGAAGGGCATTCGCCACCAAAGGGTGTCCCAACGATAAACACAGTTTCTCCTTTCTTGGGAATTCCAGAACTCACCGGTGCTGACAAATTAAGCGAACTACAGGAAAAATAGTTCTTGAGAGTTTTCACTTTAATGAGCACGAAATCGGAAAAGGAGTTTCGATGCGCGCGGACTTCGTGCGGTAACCCTTCGAGCCCATTTTTTTCAGCAGGCAACGCTGTTTTTGCTTCGCTCTGACCAGATGATTCGAGTTTCCACTCCGACGACGGAAAAATACGTTCTGCGATCCTCTGTAATCCAAAATCTCTCCAAAACAAACATAAGCAACCTTGAAGAGTTCTGAATTTCTTTTCTTCGTGTCTCCGAAAAATTACTTCAACTGCAATTTCACCATCCGTCGACGTCTGCAAGTCACGGAAGGAACAATCTGTGCTGATTGTGCGTTGATTTTCAATTTCAGGCAATAAATCGAGAAATAAAGACGCAACTGATAGCACAATTCCATTGGTACTGTCTAAAACAATGCCACAACAGCTCAAATCTGAATTACATCTCTTCACCAAAACACAAGGATCGTCCGCCATATTGCATGTAACACTTTGAGGCCGCGATTCAACGGAACCGCGGTATGCTGTGAAACGCAATGCGCGCGAGTCGCTTCTCCATCTTGGCGCTGAAATTTGACTTGTTTGTTGTTGACCGTTAGACTTTCTCGTTAGAAAAAATTAGTTTAATAGGATTTGTAGGCGAGTTACAACTTCAGCTAAATACGTTGATGTCCTCATGCCGTCGAATGGTTTTTCTTTATCGTGAAAGAGTGGAGAATTGAGATGGAGGCTTTAACCTTATCTGAGGATTCTGAAAATAGGTAAACTTGTACTGAGCTTTTGTGACTACTCGTCTTCCATAAATGAACGGCTCTTTGCTTGTTCTTGAACTTCTCATTTTATATTTTACCGATGTGAATTAGGTACAAAAATTCTGCCATGCATTGCCTGTCTTGGAAACTCTTGTCGGGTATCTGTGTGCAAATATTGCCTTCGCTTGGCCTGCATTTCAAAGTGTTGTTTACACGTCAATTGTTAATTAATTTTAAAAAGGTCTGGCTTATGTCTTGTCTGATAAATTTACCATTTTAGGATCACCATTGGAGGCAAGAGGAAGTCTTCAAGTCGGCGATCTTCGGTAAGACGATAAGAGTTCGAAGGGATGCTTGGATTTCCAGTGACACTTAAATGTTGATGAGATATTCAACGTAACAAAGTGCATAATTTGTTGAGTTTCATAAGGACACATAATTTTTAAGAGCAGTAGAGATGTGCATGGAGCAGCATGAGTTGCTGCTAAGTACTTGTTGCATTTCTTAAGTGTTCTTTAAAATTCACAAGTGTTTGTATATAGAACTCAACGTAACTCAACAAAATATGCATGAGATTGGCTGTGCACATTGGGGCTGTCATTAAGTTTTGATTCACCTGTAGCCTTAATCTTCACACCTGTATCAAACTTGTTACTTTATGGGTGTATTGCATCAACTATAAGCAGGTTCAGTTGTAGCATCAAGGGTCTGTCAAGCATGCTCAGCCGTAACAGGTGCTTCGGGTTACAACCCTTGTTGACAGCCCTGAGACATCAAAAGTACAGAAGACAACGCATGCCTTGAATTACTACTATTACAGTCAAGGGCATGGGCCTTATTAAGTTACTGGTATGTTTTATTCTAAACTCAAACTGACAAACTGTAGAGTTCTCAATTCCTTACCCATGAACAGTTTATTACAAGGGAATGGATGGTAGATGTACAGGTACATTATCGTATTGCTGAGATAATGTTATAATTAAACAATGTAAAAATTCTTAAGAATTCAGGAATGCAACAGAAGAAAATATAGTATAGAGGAGTGCTTATCCTATTTCAAGATTAGTCTGAATAATTTCCAAGAATGTAAATATAAATCAACAGCTTACCACAGTTTTGAGGGATTTAAAAGAGCCCAACTTTTGACCCTTTGGAAAATGTTCAGTTTCATTGTATGTTGTTTTTCATTTAGTTATTACTGTTTCTTGCAGCTTGTAACCAATGTAACCAATGTACAAAATGTTATATTGTTATCTGCATATCACTAGATTTTGAAGGCCACAAAATCTCCAATGAAAGGTGGTGCTCTAGAAGACATAGATCCAAATTCATTGGATGATAATGGAAGGTAGGAGAGTTTTTTGTAATTGCATTGAGTAATATTAAAATGACACGTACACGTATGGATTGAATGGTATCATGGTTATGCTCTCAAAGCTGCAGTAATTATGACAGGTAATAATTTTGCTTGGTATGTAAATTATAAACAATTAGTGGATGAGGTTTTTGTGATATCCAGAATAACCTTTACCTTGAACAAAAGAAAAATGGAAGTCAGGTTTTTGCTTCTTCACTGACGGCAAGCAACACAAAGCGTGCAAACATGACATGATTACCCTTGAAAATCATGCACCTTGGTCATACTTGACATAATTACTTGTGACCATGAGTGTCCTTGACATGATTATTGTGTAATCTGCAGCTAGATGATGTCACAGGCGCTGATTTCGAAAATTCACTGTATGCTTTCGGCCAATCAGAAAAGAGATATAGAGATCAATGTACAATAATAGTAGAAGGTTAGCTGGCCTAATGGTTAACTCGTGTGAGACTCTCATCCAAGTTCAGGTTTGAGCCCTAGTTAAGATCACTGATTTGGGAATTTTGGGAAAACAGTTTGTCCTCACACTGCCTCTGTCTACCTAGTTATATTAGTGGCTACCAGGGAATTCAATGCTGGGGAAAACTCTACAGGGGACTTGCACCTCATACAATGTAACCCCCTGTTGAAATAATGCTTTGTACAGTTCTACCATTGTTGTGTGGTTGGGGTATATGAAGGTAAAACCTGCATACACTTCAAGTGGTCCATTAGGTTGGAGCTTATCCTGGTAAATCTGGAGCATAAAGTGACTAGGAGTATTTCTACTCCTCCCTGGATGGAATGGTAGTCCATTGCATGAGGCCACCGTACCTCCCTGGGTGGTTAGAATGTATGTTCACAGCTTATTCACAGTTTACCCTGCCACATAGGAGCAGATCCAAGAAGTCCAGACGATCCTCAGGAAGAAGAGTCAGCTTTGCAAAGAAAGATGATGTCAAGTAAGGAGTTGTTTATTCTTAGTAGATCGCAGCTAATGCTGCTGCTCTGTTCTTTACTGGATCACAAGCAACAGCCACAGTGAAGTCAATGTGTTTTCTCACCCTTATTTCCTCTTGATTTGTTTCAAGTACATCTAACTGTGTCATTTTCTCTGACTAATGTATCACACATGCTCATCAAAAATTGCTCATGTACTGTAGCTAGTCACACTAGTCACACTCGATTCTGTTGTTTCTGATCATGATTTCAACCTTGAATTCAAAGAAATAGAATATCAGGTCAGGAAATGGAAAGCCATGTGACAATGGTTAAACTGCACTTGGAACAAAAATGACTAGGGGTAACCTGTATTTGTTTAATTATTATTGTGGTAAACAAACTGGGATCAAAGCTTATTGCAATATATTTTTTGCAGGGAATTTTTTGTCGAAGACTGGAAATCTGCATGGCCAACGGATGGTGAGCAAAGTATGCAAAAATCTTGCAAATGAAATTTATTTTGCACTCTTTCTATTTTCTTTCATTTAACAGCCATATTTTTTCTGATTTACAAAATCCCTTGAACAAATTTGTTTCAGTAAGGGACTCATTTTGTTGATGAAATATTTAAATTGCAGCTGATCTTCAAATGTCAAGCAATGCCTCTCAGGGGTGAGATCTCTACATTATTTTGATTAATATTACAAATTAATTAATATTATTAATTATTAGCAAAATCAGTTGGCTCTTACTTTTCTTTTCCAAATCATTTCCGAACATACCATTTGAGCATTTTGCCTTTTTTTGTTTTAAACATGTCTTCTTTTTTGATAGGGATTTGGAATACAGAGCACCAGCAGAGTCCATTAAAGGTGAATTTCAATTAATATACGGTGTACTTAAATGCATACAGACCATTTAAGTGTTGAAACTGACTAGGAAATGCAGCTGTGAGAGTCCTGATTCTGTGGAAGTACAAATGTTATTGCAAGCATGTCTGGACCTCCAATAAGGGGATGCTTTAGGAAACAGGACCCAGAGGACGACATAGATGGCACAACTTGTCTTAAACATGACTTATGTAGAGCGCACTGCTTGTAGCAAGATGAAATTGTGTACCACATTCATGATATAACATTGTCGGATACTCTGACTGTTGTAGGTTTATAGAAACATGTTTCAAAAAATTGTGACATGTTTACAGTCGTACATGACAATCATAAGCAAGTTGTAGGTTTTATTTAGACAAAACAATGTATGATGATAGTCAGTATGTCACAGACTTATTCCAAACACAAAAAGATGTAACCTCCAAATTGGTCTGTCAGTAGTAAGCCCATTTTGATCATCACATGGAAACAGGCTTTTAGCCAGATAGGTGTCCAGGCATCCTGTGGACGGCCACTTTCTAAAGAAATTTTTTTTATTTTCATATGTTGCCTTCAGTTCTAAATTGCTCATTTGAGCAGGCCCTATAGCACATTTTGGACGGCTACGTGTACTTTTCAAATTCTGCCTAAAAGCCCGCATGGAAAAGCCACTATGATTAAAGTTTAGACATACTGTGGTGCATATACAGTGGAACCCCGTTTATATGGTCACCACCACACTACAAAAATCTGGCCATATCAACGGGGTGGCCATATTAAAGGAGTTCTTTAAATGACGAAAAATACTGACTGAGCTTTTGTTTGGGCCAGAATAAAGTTGCCATAATAACAAAGTGGTCATATTGCCAGGGTGGCACTAGGCAAGGTTTTACTGCACACTTGTTACATAGGTGTTAAAGCATTTTCTTATCTAACTGGTCACATTCTAGGATTAGAATCCCTGTTGAAAGGCAATATTCAAGCAGATGACAATAATGTGGGAAGGGTTGAGATTCAGGTGAGTGCTGTACAGCAAACATGTAACTAGGCTTAGTTTCCAGCCATTTTTCTCTGCACACATTGTTTGCATATGACGCTATGCTGTAGATGTTAGCTAATATATGTAGATTTCGCCAAGCCTAAAAGTGGAGCTCCTGGGCTGGGTTGTTCAAATCCCGATCAAGCTAACCCAGGATAAGCGAGAATTTTCATTTGAGTTTTGTAACTTTGCGGTGACCAGGTTTCCTGGGTTAACGTTAACCAGCTTCTGAACAACCCAGCCCTGTTTACAGCCCGCTATCCAATCAAAAACCAGCACTTGGTCAGCGGTTAGACCTCGATGAGCTCTAAACTTGAGCCCATGGCATGGTCACATGATACTGGTCAGCAGATACCTTGTTTTGACAGGTGTCAATTGACCATAACAGGGATGTCCAATATCAAAGAAGAATGCTATAAACCAATGTCTCTTTCAACCTATTAGCTGGAGTATGGTTGCCATCTTGTGCGACTCCTCCGTCGCCGTCATGTGTACGTGCCCATGAGCAATACCACTAGCCATGATAACCATGAGAAAATCAATTATGGGTTTCCTCAAATCTTTCCTTTATGAGTATGGGACTCTGCTTGGCAGGCCGCCGGATCACCGCTATTACTGTACCCACATTCTCAATTAGCCAGTCAGAAGCTGTGTCTGTCCTGATATCCTGTGATATTAAGTCACTGACCTGATATGGCCATGATATCATGGTCACCTGGCCTAATTTGGGTGCAATAAATACCTAATATCGTTTTGGTATGACTTTGGTGTCATATCAGGCTCATCTGGACTCGCCATGGATATACTTTCGGCTTGACTATGTCTCACCAAAATATGAACCGTGGCTCACCTAAACTCACCTGATGTTCCACCAAAGTGTTCCAAGAAAGAACAATTAGCTATAAACATCAGAGGTGGTCCTATTGTATACCGAGTGATCATTAGCATTTACTTTGATATTTAGGAGATGCCTGAAGTGCAGTTCAATCAATTAAGCACGGATGATGAAGACAGTGCAGTGTGTTATGACAGAGGGATTTTACTACAAACTATCACACAAGCACAAGTCCAGCACACAGTCCCTTTAGACGTTACTGTTTGTCATGGTTCTGGAATTATTAGTGCTCCTAATAATGACCCTGAAGCTTCACGAGCTAATCCAAATGAAGAAACAGAGGATACAAAATGCCGCAGTTCAGTTTTGTCCAGTGACTTTGACCAAACAAGATTGTTTGGTGGAGACACAGGCACTGATCTTGACATTACGTGCTCACAGCAAGAAGTATTTTTTCGCGATTATCCTGCACAGCTATTGTCATCTGAGAGCTTGGAGCAAAGTGGTAAAATGGACAGCAAGTCTTTCCTTATGTCACTTGGGTCAAAGCCTTCATCAACTCAAACACATGAAGTGATACAACACACCAAGGATTATATGACACCCACTACCATTAGCAATGCTTATTGCAAGAGGCAGCCTTTAGGCGATATCACAGATGTCCAGAGTGCCATGAAAACAAGTCAAGGAGGTGGAGACCAACAGTCAAATGTTGATGAAAATGTGGAATCAACAGCCTGTCATAGTTACAAAGGTCTTGAAAACTCTGTATCAAAAACAATGCGAAGAAGCATCTATGAGCCTTTGGGCATAGATGTCACATCTTGTTATGGCCCAGGAGCTGATCAAACTGAGGTAAATAATACAGATAACACTGAATCCCTGGACCTAACAGCTTGTCAAGCACAGGAAGAACACGATTCTGATGAGAATCTGGAACTAACAGCCTGCCATAGCTACGAAGTTCTTGATAGCAGTATACCAAAAACACACCAGAAGAGCATTTGTGAACCCGCCGAGCTTGACGTCACATCTTGTTATGGTCCAGGGGTAATCAAGGGCTGTTCACTTTCACTGTCTACCCATCAGAATGATCAGAGTTTGTCCTGCAACGGTTCAAGGAAAATGGATTCTTCAGTGTTCTTGCAGTCTCTTGGTTCAAAGCAACACTCCAATGCTACAGACAATGACGAATATGATGACGAAATGGACCTTACAATATCTGGAAACATTGGGACACTAACAGAAGGTAAAACAGAACAAAAGACAGCTGTGGAGCCGAAGTCAGCGACTTTTTTGTGCGCTAAAACAAGCGAAGTTGTGACAGATCTGTCAAATTCCACTGGCTTTCGAAATGCTTATCTCATAAAGAATCCCTTTAAAAAGACCACAGACCAGCAGGAACAAACATCAAAGTTTCATGAAAACTTAGAGCTAACGGTCTGTCATAGCCAGCCGGTTCTGGACAGCGATTCACAGAGAACTAAACGGAGGAGTTTGTATGAGGCAGCTGATCTAGAGGTCACATCTTGTTATGGTCCAGGCCTGATAAAGTCGCCAGAAAAAGAAGAAACAAGTAATAACTTGTTCAAATCAGCCTTGAACCTCTCGAGAAGTTTGCGAGCGGCAAGCAACGCTAACAAGTTAAATGGCAATGCTGTATTTAACAAAGCGCAAGATTTGCCTGGTTGGAATAAAACCCAACAGCAGGAATCAGATTTTAATGACAATTTAGACCTAACAACCTGTCATAGTCGGCCATTCATGGGAAACAACTCACTGAAAACAGACCGGAGAAGCCTTTTTGGGCCTGCGGACATAGACGTCACTTCCTGCCATGGGTTGGGGCTGGTGGAGTCATCGGGTAACAATTTGGAGTTGACAGTCCGTGGCCAACCAGGTCTAGACAATGGTTTACAACAAGCAAGCCGAAGAAGCCTTTGTTATGAACCTGCTGATATTGATGTCACGTCTTGCCATGGTGTGGGGCTGGTCGAGTCATCGGGGAACAGTGTGGAGTTGACAGTCCGTGGCCAGCCAAGTCTGGATGACAGCTTACAGAAAGCAAACCGAAGAAGCTTTTATGAACCTGCTGACATTGATGTCACATCTTGTCATGGCCTAGGACTTGTCAAGTCGTTTGTTGAAACTTCAGAGTCAACAGTCCCTCTTAGCCAGCACGCTATTGATAATAACGCACAAAAAATAAACCGTCGAAGCGTCTATGAACCTGCTGACTTAGATGTCACATCTTGCCAAGGTACAGGACTGGTTAAATCATCTGGTGAAAGTTTAGAACTAACGCGCTGTCATAGGGAACAAGTTCTTGACAACAGTACACAGAAAGTAAACCGACAAAGTCTTTATGAACCTGCCGACTTAGATGTTACATCTTGTCATGGTTCAGGGCTGGTCAAAGCAAATCGTGAAAGTCTACAGCTAACAACATATACCAGTGAGCAAGTTCTTGACAACAACACAGAGAATGGAACTCGACAAAGCGTCTACGAGCATGCTGACTTAGATGTCACATCTTGTCCTGGTCCAGGGCTGGTTAAATCGAATCGTGAAAGTCTACAGCTAACAACATATACCAGTGAGCAAGTTTTTGACAACAACATAGAGAATGGAACTCGACAAAGCGTCTACGAGCATGCTGACTTAGATGTTACATCTTGTCGTGGTTCAGGGCTGGTCAAAGCAAATCGTGAAAGTCTACAGCTAACAACATATACCAGTGAGAAAGTTTTTGACAACAACACAGAGAATGGAACTCGACAAAGCGTCTACGAGCATGCTGACTTAGATGTCACTTCTTGTCATGGTCCAGGGCTGGTTAAATCGAATCGTGAAAGTCTACAACTAACAACATGTATTAGAGAGCACGTTCCTGACGACAACACAGAGAATGCAACCCGACGAAGCTTCTACGAGCGTGCTGACTTAGATGTCACATCTTGTCATGGTCCAGGACTGCGCAAGTCAGATCGTGAAAGTCTACAGCTAACAACATGTACCAGAGAGCAAGTTCCTGACGACAAAACGGAGAATGGAACTCGACGAAGCTTCTACCAGCATGCTGACCTACGTATCACGTCTGGCAGTGAGTCAGACCTGGATAAGACACCAAATGAACCAGTAATAACTGGTAACGCTGGCAAAACACGCTTAAACCTTACAGAAAGGACAGAAGCCAGTTTTCACAGAGTCAGTGCAAACGCATCATTAGACAAGGTAAAAGATTTCCATTATACCGAAGAGGTACTTCAGACTGCAAGAGCCCCAACCGACTCAAATACAAGTTTTGAGTATACAGATTACAGCGCGGACAACGATGAGACATCTGCCCCTGCTGTAGGGTTGAACCAATCAATAGGTGACCAAATAACTAGTGATGTTGACAGACAGTTGTCAATTATTTGCGAAGAATCTGTCAGTGAACTAAGTAAGAAAGAGTTGAGGGAAGACGGGAATGTGACCGAGCTGGAGGAGATGCAGAACACCACACAGTAAGTGTCTATGTTGAACTATGGCATGTGTGTTTATTGTTCAGGGTTCCAGATAATTCTTTAAAGCAAGTTGTCAATAAGGAATTCCAATGGGTCAATTCCCACTGTTCCCACCAAATCACTGTAATTTTCTTTTTATTTGCTGGGTCATGTACATGTAGCTGACCTTGTCGGGTTTTTGACCTGAGATCCCTTACTTATCTGAAACACTGTTATTATACTAAGCCCTGATTGTCCGAACTCATTAATAACAGTTCCGAAAGGACTTTTAGAAGTCCAGATTGTAAAAATTTTGAATTTGTAGTTCGAGAAAATATCCCTCTCCCGTGGAATGGATTTTTTTCTAAGACCCTCCCACCCCTCTGGAAGTTCCAATTAAGCTTCATACATTTCTTTATTGTTTTTGGTCTTACAGAACCCTCTCCCCCCACCCCCAGGAAATTCCAATGAATGAATCCCTTCTGTGGGGTGTGTATGGATATTTTCTGAAACAGCATCATATAAAAGATCCACAGTTTATAAAAACAGCAGTTAGTACCCAGAGACTATTGGTTTGTCTTGCCTTGTAGAGTTTCCTGAGTTACTGACCATTCTGTGGCTTGCTAATTGTGCGAGAAGTTTCATCTTTTTACCACAACTTGTTGTTCACGTGTTTCGTATCAATATGCCTATCTTTTTCCAAAAATAGGTTCGACTAGATATCCCTCCAGGCTATTTTTCTAGACATTACAGGCGCCCGGTAAATTGGGAGTAGCGCAAACGAACGGACGCTGAAAAACGATGGGGTTTAAGTTCGGAAATGTCTCCCCGCCTCTACCAAACCCTTGGCCTTTTTTGCCACCCGTTGTTCTTCGCGCTGCTGCACTTACGCCGAACGCATAAAAAAGGCCATAGCTTAGCTAGATTGTATATCAAACAGAATAGATTCAGTTCCTAAATTAGGTTTAAACCATTGTGTTGAACGCTATTTGTATTAACTAACGGTTGCTTTCCTTTTAGGAGTCCTATCACCTTAAAGAAGTTCCTTGATATCACAGAACTTGCCTTTATTACTGAGGTCAACATGCGCCGGAGTATTGCGCCTTCCAATGTGGTGAGTATTATCACCAGTCCTTTTCGCGCCATGGGACGCATAAGGCCCTGGTGAGTAGAATTAGGTGAAAAATAAAGCAGTCAGCAAAACGTTTGAGAGGGACCCATGGATCAAAATAATGGGGTGCTCTTAAAGCGCATCTTAAAAAGTCAGTACAAAATTGCTTTTAAATTAAAGGAATTT